AGACATAGTTGATCAGGCTATGTCATTCCCAGACCTGACTATACATCCCCAAGCCTACTTGTGCCATTCAACAATCATTACTTTTGTTTTGTTCTAGATGATGCTTGACCTTAGTATGTATGCATGCATGTATACTTTTTAAACAAGAAACTATTTATTTCTAAAAGTATAGTTATTTGAAAATGTTAAATCAGAGACCTTAGTCCCAATGCATTTATAGTTTGTATATCTTATGTGGTTTCGATATACTTAGTTCACTATAAACAATGCTCTGATACCAATCTGTCACACACCCCCAAACCAAGGATGGCGGAAACGTCCGGGGTGGAGGACTTCATGTATAGTATCACAACAACAAGAATATATAGTGCTCAAAGTAAATACAACCATCATAAATATAATTGAAAAAGACACACAATGGATAAGTTTACATGTTTCAAATCAATTACATTATGATGACAAAATGAAACGTTTGACGATTTATCGTCCCATCCTCAAATGCTGTTGGTTTTCCTGTTTCACACTGATTTCCTGAGAATACAAGTATTTGAAAAAAGTGTCAACAATTAAGTTGGTGAGTTCATAAGAGTTTTTGTTTGAGAAAGAAACCGTTTTCCTTGTAAAAGCGACAAAGTATGTTTCCAGAAAATCCAATATTTTTCTTTATTAGTGAAATGAATGCTTCTATGTTATGCGATAATGAACCCTAGAAAGACCATAGAATTCCTTCTATAATCGCCCAGTGTATATAAGTTTATATAAATTTAAGTTAAATAAACGTCGAATATAATGGTCTGCCTAGGTCCACAACCAAACAAGGAACAGAAGTAAGGCGGGCCCACACCAATTCTAAGTCGATTATGACTAGATTCTATATAACTCTAGCATATACACTTAGCAATATAGCTGAAGTCTAACAATTCTAGATGAAGATAGTTTTAACAAGATATGATTCCAAAGAAATCCTATATTTTCCTTATAAAAGTTATGTGGTCCTAATCCCAGGACCGAAGTAAACAAGTATTTTCCATACTTAAAGATATAAAAGTGGTTCTAAATCGGCATAAAACCCTTTTTAAAGTTAGGTAGTCCTAAATCCAGGACCGAAATAAACAAGTATTTTACCATACTTAAAGATTAAAAGTGGTTCTAAATCGGCATAAAACCCTTTTAAAGTTAGGTAGTCCTAAATCCCAGGACCGAAAATGAACGTATTTCCCATACTTAAAGTAATTTTTGCAAGTTTAAAATCGACATAAACTCGTTAGAGTTTTAGAATAAACCCTTTTCAAGTAGAATTTTCCATGTAAACTTGAATGATTGTTAACTACCTATGTGAGTCGCTATAACCATACTATGACGAGAAATAACCTGCACAACGTTTTTCAGACGTTAAGATACTATGACTCTTGTCACCCGTAGACCTGCAGGTCCCACTGTAGCTAGCAGCAAGGTGTGGGGTGTCAAACCCAATATAGATCTATACACAATTATCACGCTCTCCCTACAAGAGACTCTGGTTATAACTTACAGGAATTGGGATCCCGTACTCGAACGTACGGGGAGAGAATTGCCTCACACACCTAAGTTAACTAGTTTACACATAGTTTGATATTAAAACCTCTTCCATGAAGGAAGTAAAATCACCTTTTCTGAATAATTAGTGATATGAAATCCTTAAACTATTACTATTATAGTTTATTACGTAAGATATGAAAAACCCATTTGTTTTGAGAGTAAAACCTTTTTCATGTAGTAAAAATCCATAAACTATGCTTATTGAAGTTTATTATAAGTATTCGAAATGAATGAGTAAACCTTATCATGAATGACTAAATTTCAGTTTATGATGATAAACTAACAAGAAAATACATTCAATATTTAGAACTTATTTTTAACACTTGCTCAACATAATACAAAGTGTTATGAAAGTTATAAGCTGTTAACTAGTTTTAACACCGTTCTGCACTGTTTTAGAAAAATCATAGAAAAATCATACGAAGTCGAAAACTGAATCCGTAAATTCTGAGAGTTCATAAAATGTTCTAGTTTTGTTCATAATTTTTATTATGATTTTTGGAAGTCTTTAACTGTGTTAAAATGTTCATATTCACAGACTGGTCCGAATTCGTTCTTAAATGATAGGCAGTTTTGTAAAAATCACCATAAATCGTAGAAAAATCGTATGGTGATGTGCAAGGAGTCATTTTAAAGGTATGACCTGAACTATTTGCACCTAATACAGTTTTGAAACTAAAATGTTTAAGTTTGACCAAAACAGTCCGTGAATGGAGTTGAACTTTTCTGATGAAGGCTTGTTAAATGAGTTTAGTTGTGTTCTTGGTGTTTTAACCTTGTATTCCCCCCCCCCCCCTTAAAACTTAAGAAACATGAAAAGATAGGGGTATGAACTCACCTTGAGTGATTTCACAGTAGATGATGATGAGAAAAGAAGTGTTCAACTCAAGAACACTTGGGAGGTGCTTGAAGATTGAAGATCTAACACAAATATGACGATATTTGTGTAAGCAATCTATGATTTGGATGAAAGATAGTAGAAATATCTAAGTGTGGGGAGGAAGATACTTACCAAATGTGAGAAAAAAACAAGACCAACCTTTGAATCTCGAATTTTTAGAGAGAGAAAGTGGAAGAGAGGTGTTTGTTCTTCTTAAGAAAGAGTGAATAAAGTGGGAGGAGGAGGGGAAGGATATCTCCAGCTTTGATCAACATTATGGCTGAAAAAAAAGAGTGGGAAAAGGACAATGATTGACTAGGTATGGGTGAATAGTGACTAGGGGTTGTACTATGAAGGTATGGGGAGGTTGTTTGTGTCATACACTAAGGCAAAGTCAACACTCCACCCATAAATCTTACCTACTAGATTTTATTCTTAGGCAAAGATTTTCCCCAAAATATAATTAAAATATGAATATTTGGGGTTTATTATGTTAAAATACGAGTTTGGGTGAAAATCCCGCGTTAAAATCTCGAAAAACAGGCTCAAAACGCTAAAAAATATTGAAAACCGGGAAAAACTGCCAATTCGAAATTTGGGGCCGGAGGTTCGGTCCTAGTCCTTAGAACCGAAAGTAGGAGAAGAAACCGAGAGAGAAGGGTTCGGCTGCGCGAGTCGCCTCTCGGACCGAAGGTGAGGCTCGGTTGTGCATGGGAACCGAGAGGTCTCGCAGGCATGCTCATCAGAAGGGACCGAGGGTTAGGATCTCGGACCGAAGGTCAGGTCCTCGGACCGAAGGTAAGAAGGGTAGAGCCGAAAGTCAGGTCTCGGTTCTGATTAGTCAGGGGACCGAAATAAACCGACCGCTCGGTCCATTTCGGTTGAGAGGGGTTCGGCTCTAAGAGGTTCGGCTCCTAGGAGTTTCGGTTCCTAAGAGGAGTTTCGGCTCCTTAAGGCTGTTTTTCGCGTAGACTTCTGTTTTCGAGCTGTTTTCGTCAAATTCGAGGGTCGGGATGCCCCGAGTGATTATAAAAAGTTGAGAGAGATTTTGAGAGTGATTTGGGAGAGATTTGTCATACTTGGAGAGATTTGGCATACTTAGAGAGATTTGGGAGAGATTTGACATTCTTGGAGAGATTTCTCATACAGAGAGAGATTTGGGAGAGATTTCACATACTTGGAGAGATTTGGCATACTTAGAGAGATTTGGGAGAGATTTGACATTCTTGGAGAGATTTCTCATACAGAGAGAGATTTGGGAGAGATTTCACATACTTGGAGAGATTTGGGAGAGATTTGACATTCTTGGAGAGATTTCTCATACAGAGAGAGATTTGGGAGAGATTTCACATACTTTGAGAGATTTGGGAGAGATTTGACATTCTTGGAGAGATTTCTCATACAGAGAGAGATTTGGGAGAGATTTCACATACTTGGAGAGATTTGGGAGAGATTACACACACTTGTAGCGATTTCTCCTACTTAGAGAGTTTTGGGAGAGTTAGAGTGAAAGAGATTGGGAGAGACTTCTTTTGTGACCTTTTTGAGTGTTTGGCTTCGCAACGCAAGGTTTGTACATCTCGTTAAGTCTTGTTATGATTGTTATATGCCCCTGAGGGTTAAGGATTAATGTTTTATCGAGTAGTTTCATTACTTGCCCTGATTAGGGTTTAGAATTTCCGAACACGTGAAAATTCTAAGTGATACTTTGTATTAAGATTGCGAGTTGTTCAATAAGAAACATAATGGAAACCCTAATGTACAAGGGTTAGATGAGTTGACCGGTTTGACTTGTTGACTTTAGTTGACTTTGACTTGGCCAAAAATTGACGGTTGTCACAATAACCCCCCGGTTGCTGGTGCAAAACAAAAAACTGTCGCTCAATATTGTCTCAGAAAACTTGGTTTTACATGATAACAAAATTATATTCACCAAAAATAAAGTGTGTATTTTGTTATGTTAAAGTATTTAAAATAAAGAATTGGAATGAAATACATAGGTGTATGTATAACGTAAGAAGGCACTACAAAAGATAAGGACCGCAGACATGTATTGTTCTTCTTTTTCATGTTCTTTGGAGGGAAAGACACTTTATAAATTATACCTTATTCTTTAAAATATATTTGTATGGAAAGATGATTAAATATGAATTATAAAAACCTAGAGGAATAAAATCCCTTTCGCCAAAATCAGTCATTAATCTAAAAATATATTGCTTAATAAGATCCTAGACACGTTTCAAAAAAGAATAAACGATTTGCCAATTTAATTCTTCTAAAACTTATTTCCGTATTTATATCTTTTAGTATCTGCTAAGATGCATATAGTAGTTATGGGTTTTAATACTTAACCATATGCAATTTATAACATAGTGAAAATTTTTAATAGCAAACTATTTCTGTTTATGATTTCTTTACTGCAGTTGATGTTTATAGCAAACTATAAAAGTTAGACTTTTCAATAAATACCAAAACCTCTACTCTATTCAAAAGACAAAAAAATCTCAAGAGATCTCTATCTTTCCAACAAGAATGAAAAAACTCACTTTTTCTTCTCAGCGTCTCCACCAGACCTACAAAAAGAAGACCCAATACATATATCAAACCAGTGTAATACAACAAATCATACTAAATAAATAACATTCATCATACTATGTCAATATCAGTATATATTTTTGTGAACCATGTAAGTAGAAAGAAAAAACATTTGTAGTTACCTCATCTTGCGAAGAACACTAGACATCTCCTCACGCTTCTTCTTTTCTCTCTTGTGAGTCCCCAACTTCCTCTTTGCCACTTTGAGGGCACGTTTGTCCTTTCCAACCTTGAGAAGCTCAGTGATTCTCTTCTCATAAGGAGCAAATCCAGCAACCTCTCTGATAAGGTTTCTCACAAAGTGTGATCTCTTGCTTGTTTTCTATATATAATCCAAAGAAACACAACCATTAATTTAACCAAAAGAAACTCAACACAATTTAGATATCATGATTTGTTACTTACCCCTTTTCTGTTGGAAGGACGGGGTGCTAATTCCTTCTTGGTGACAACATGCCCTTTGTTTAGACCCACAAAGAGTCCTGTGTTTGGCTGTTTTGGAGCCATTGGAACCTGAAAACATAAACATATATCAGCACAAAGCAACATACACTTCACAACAGATCATCAACTTAGCCTATGCAGTTTTGATTCAATGTGACCTGAAAACGTTACAAGCCTCAGACTACAATCAAAATGCGTAGTATATATTCTTATTAAACATGAAGCAGATTACAAGATATAAATGAGCTTATACGTGCCAATAAGTTTGTAAACACCAGCAAGCTTATAAGCACATGGAAAGCATCTCGGAACTATAAGAAGATGCGGGATAACTAAAAGTACAACTAGGGTAGAAAAACAACCTGGGCAAGAAGAATTTGAGACCAAGTAAACTTTAGTTGCTGTACATTGAACTTTATTCTTGAAAGAAACCCCCAAATATCTTGCCTTAATTGTTGTAAATTCCGAGACTGGGATACAATCAGGAACAAGATCTCCTCGTTAATGTTATTCATCGCCTCCTCCAACCACCATCCTTCACCACCTCCTCCGATTTTCATGGACCCGAGCCGCTGCTACAGCCTCTGACCGGAGCCCTCAAGTCGATCAAACCTCGGTGGTCTGGAATATCACGTGATGCACGTCAGCGAGGATGTGAGCCTGAAGCGGGCCCTCAATTCTTAACTCCACACCGGAGTACTTGATCTGAGATACGAGCTTGGTTGCGTTATTCCTTTAGGATAAACAAAAGGGATTCGGTAGTGGTGGAGGTGGATTAGGGTTTACAGAGAAAAGGAGAAGGAGAAAGTGAAGGTTGTCGGCTGGTGGAGAGGATGAATTCGTTATTCCTTCCCGAACAGCAACAACTTGATCAGAGAACGAAACCTGCAAATGAGGTCTAGGGATTACATGGAAACCCTAAAATATTGATGAAACGCGGGGTTTTTAATTTTTTAGGATTTCATTCCCCCCCCCTCTGCTATTAAAGGATGGAACGCGCGTTCCATTAAAATTTATAAAGCGCCAGCCTTAGACGACACACATCTTATTATAGATGCCCTCTGTGTCTTTTTTTTGTTTAGACACTAATTTAAGGGCACGCAATAATGCGTGACCTAAATCTTTAAATTTTTTGAAGAGACGAAACTTTTTTAATGTCACTCTCTTTTGCGTAACATAAATCAATGAGTGTCGTGGTTTGCGCGTCGTAAAAGGGTCTTTTTCTTGTAGTGCAAAGGGCATCACTGTTAGGGCCAAGATCCTCAATCCTATCTAGGATCCTGGATCTAAAAGATATTTAAGGATCCTTAAACATATCCAAGATCCCGGATCTTAAAGGAGTCTTAGGATCCCGAACATATGTCAGGATCCTGAACATCGCTGTTATTATTTCCTAACAAGTTTAACTACTATATTTCTTGTTTATTAATCACATGTGCAGAAATGGTCAACATAGGACTCATTCACAATGAACAATCAGTCTAACCAGGCTTAAGACCAGGAAATACCAAGTCAAAGCACGTTGTAAATACCAGCTCAGCAGGATCCCGGAAATATCGGAGATTTAGTTACTTAACCTAGACTATAAATACACCTGCAAAACACACACAACGAAAATAATTCTTGGACACCTTACTCATTTAGTATCACTTCACCATTTGTAATCGTATTATCATGCTTATCTCTGTAATTCTTTCTTCAATCAATAAAATCAAACAAGCTAGGTGATGATAATCACCTCCCAAGGTTTTATGCCGGAGATCCTAACAAGGATCAATGGCTTTCCTTGTAACTCTCTTGTGCAATCTTGTTCTAATTTCATTAATCACTTCACTTACAACACCACAGCCTCTCATGCAATTTGGTTGATATCCACTTAGTCGATTTTTTACCAAAACAATTTGGCGCCCACCGTGGGGCCGTGGTGTTCTTAATTCTCGAAAATTATGTCTACACAACCAACTTTATCTTCTTCCTCTATTCCTCCATTCCCTCAAAAAAATCTTCCACCACCTCGAAAAGGACCTCCTAGTTAGAGGAAAACTCTGGATACCTTTAAAAGTACACTTCTCCGGTCATCAGCCACGAGAATTCGGGATCCCTGAGATTCCAGGATCCTCCTGTTTCGCAAACAACGAACTCTTCTCCATGGTGAAGATGATAAAGAAATAACTAAACCAAAAACAGGAGGAAAACAAGACTACACTCTTGGAGATGGAAAGAATTAGGGAGGAGTTCCATAAACCCCAAGGAGCAGCATCCTCAATCTTGCAATGCAAGATCCTGAACTTTGACGATGTAGGATCCTCAGGAAATTGATGTGAGATAGGATCCTCAGGGAACCGCTAGGAGATAGGATCCTCAACACCAACACCTACTCCCACTTGGGGTGTAACTCCAAACGAGCAAGCCCATGTGATCCAGGATCCCGAAAAAATCTTCATCACTACCGATAACAAGGATCCTGGTAACTTCGTGAATAATAATATTTTTAATACTAACTCTATGGACCTTGATACAGGAATAAGCCCTATCATGGGAAATGAACTTCGGTAGTTAAGGGAGATGATCTCAAGTGTACCCGGAGTGGTCCAACCTATACTAGAGGTATCTCCCACGAGCCATAGAATCTCAAGATTTGCTCCTGCAATAGCTGAAGTCCCAAAGCACTTCCAAACTCCCAACATGAAGCCTTACGATGGAAACACTGATCCTGAAGAATGTGTGGCATAATGCAGAGAAAGAATGGAGATCATCACCATTCCCACATAGCTATAGGAAGCCTGTTTTGGTTCCACCCTCATAGGATCAACCTTGAAATGGCTTCTCAGTGTTCCTCTTTATTACTTGTTTTGCTCATTTAGTTAATCTTTTCAATAGCCAATTTTCTTATAAAAGGACATTCAAAAGGATCACTAGTGATCTCCATTGAGTACTCCAGGATCCTAACAAATCCTTTAGAGATTTTGTAAGCAAGTTTGGCAAGGAAGAGCTGAATATTTCTAACATCGACAAAGTCACTGCAGTAGAAGCCTCCAAGATGGATTTAAAGAAGGATCCTCCCTTTTATGAGGATTTCGTAATGACCCCGTGTAGGAAAACGACGAAGTCAGAAGTAGAACATCGAGGTTCATTAAACTTGAAGAAGGTCTAATCTATAGCATGCAAGATCTTGGCGAGAAAGCAAGGTGGCCACGGAAAGGAGAGAAATCAAGTGGCTGGAAAGACAAGTCTAAATGGTGCACATACCATGAAGATTTCAACCACATCATTGAGGATTGTGTAGCCCTCAGAAAGGAGATTAGCTATCTCCTAAGCAAAGGACATCTCAAAGAGATCCTAGGAAGACGAAAAGAAAGATTGAAGGAAAAATGAACAGGATCTTGCGAAGATCCTAGAAAAACTAGAATCCCCTCCTTCAAATGCCAAGGTAATTAATGTTATCTTTAGGGTTATGATATTTGTGGAACTTCTTACTCTAAAGAAAAAAGACACGTCGAGGTATCCAAAAAAGAGAAAGAAGAAAGACCCTGGAAGAAGACTTCGATAACACAAGCATCCCGGTGGATGAAGGATCCTCGGTGAACATCACACTCTTAGATGCTCTGACCAGGATGAACATCCTAGAATCTGAGACAATTAAAAGACCCTCAGTAGTAATGGGATTCAGCGTTAAAACAAAGCATACAATTGTAGAGATCAAACTACCTATCTACATCGAAGGGGTAAACTCTATTCAACACTTTTATGTTGCTAATGCTTTGTCTTCCTACAATGTTATATTAGGTAGTCCATAGATCCATGACGTGAAAGCATTTACATTAATGTACCCTCAATGCGTCAAAATGCCTACCCCTTGGGGGGCAGTAAAGATCCTTGGAGATCAACAGGAATCCAAATAGTGCTATGGGACCTCGATGAAGCTTTCCTCAGTACCAAGGTAAACATAGCAATTAAAGCGCGGGGGGGGGGGGGGGGGCACGAGACGTACCAGAAGTGAATGAGAAAGATATAAAAGAGTGCTATGGGACCTCAATGAAGCTTTCCTCAGTACCAAGGAAAGCATAGAAAATTAAAGCAGGGGGCACGAGACGTACCAGACGTTCCCTTAAACCTTGAGGATCCTGACACCAAAGTACTCATAGGATCCTCAATACCAGAAGACATCGAAAAGGAACTAATTACATTCCTGAAAGAAAGAAGTAAAACCTTTGCATGGAAACACAAAAGACAAGACAGGTATATATAAGAATATTATAACTCAAAAACTTAACATTGATCCTTCTTTTAGACCCATACATCAAAATAGAAGGAAGTTGGCACCTGAAAGGTACCTGATCATTCAAGAGGAAGTGGAAAAACTTCTCAAATAGGGATGATCAACGAAGTCAAGTTCCTAAGGTGGCTGGACAACGTAGATGAATGACTCCATGATAGACGCGGCAACGAGTCATGAATTATTGACATTCATAGATGCATCAACGGGATTCCAACAGATCCAGATGGAACCATCCGACCAAGAGGATACAACATTCATAACTCTAACAAGTATCTATTCTTATACTACCATGCCGTTTGGTCTTAAAAATGCAGGTGCCACATACCAAAGGCTAGTCAACAAGATGTTAAAAGAGAAACTGGGGGACACCATGGAAGTCTACATCGATGACATGGTGGTTATGAAAGCTGAAAATCACCTCAGGGATCTAGAAGAAGCCTTCGATATATTAGATGAATACAATATGAAGTTGAGCCTGTCCAAATGTCGCTTTGGAATAAAGGCGGGCAAGTTCCTTGGTTACCTGATGAAGCGAGTCCTGACCAAGGATCTTCGAATGGGGAACCACTCTTCCTATACCTTTCTATATCTTCAGATGTTTTAAGTGCTATTCTGGCCAAGGATCTTTATGGAAAACAACATCCTATTTACTATGTAAGTAAAAGTCCATTGGATCATGAAACCATGTACTCTCACTTTGAAAAACTAATACTTGAACTAGTTACAACTTCTACCTAATTAAGACATTATCTTGAAACTCATACTATACATGTCAAAACTAATTATATTATCAAGAATTTCATGAGAAATATAGAAATGTCAGATAGAATAACTAAGTGGTCAATAAAGCTCATCACATATGACATCAAATATGAGCTAGGATCCTGTAAAAAGTCATACGTACTAGCAGACTTTGTGGCTGATTTTAGTGATGATCTACAAACCGAAGCAGAATTGGAAAATTGACAACTCCAAAAAGAAGAAAGCATGGGAAAATAAACGTTTTTCGCAGATGGAACTAACAACTTTAGAGGAGAAATCCCATGGATCATACTAAAATCGCCACAGGGTGACATCCTACCCAGGAATTTAGTTATAAATTCAATGCAACTAACAATGAAGCAAATATGAAGCATTGATCATTGGGTTCTAGCTGGTCAAGGATCTTCAGATCAAGGATCTTCAGGTATATGTCAAATTTTTTATTAATAACTAACCACTTTAATGGATCCTATGCAGTTAAAGGCGAAAGACTAGCACTATACCTTCAAATTCTTAAAA